CTGATCCCTGGCAACGTGAAGGAACCTCCTGTAACAGTCCCACTGTGTGTCACACGGCATGTCTAACACAAGGCTCAGTGGAAACTCATCGCCATGACTTAGACTAGGCTCTAGCACAGAAATCACTAAGTCCCCCTGCCCCCCACACATACACACCTCTCCCTTCACTAGACCACATCCAGGGATTTTTGGTTTGTGGCTTTTGTCTATAGCCAACACTTACTAGGCTGGGCTCCCTCTCACAGCTAAGGTTCTAGTGGCTGCGACCAGGTGACTTTTCTATCCCATACCTTTTTTTTTCTCCAGTGTCAATTCCAGACATCACCCACACCCCCCGTGGAAACCTCTCTCCCTTGCCCATGCAAGATTCTCCTTCCCTGCTGTTGCCATGTCTTCTGATACCCATACTACCCAGGGGCATCAGTTTCAGCCATGCTCTCATAAACATGGGGGCAGGCAAGGTTCCCAGGTGTTGCTCAGCCTGGCTGTGATACACTTCTGAAGGAGTCTTAGTGGGACGTGGCTGAGGACACCCTGTTCCCTCGGACAGTGGGCTGCATGATAGCCTGACTGTAGGGGAACAGGGAAACCTGTCAACTCAGACAGCTGAGGTCCACTGGGCAACAGGGGCTTTGAGAAATGAGCCTGGTCAGAGTCATGTTCACATCCCATGCAATGTGGGCCTCTCGGCTTGGAGCTAGTTTCATGGGAACACCCTTGAAACTCATTACCTAGAACCTAATCCCTGGCAATGTAAAGGAACCTTGAAAAGTCAACAACAAATATGCAGCTTAGTTATGCACTAGGTTTCCTGCACGTGTGTGAAAAACTTAGTTGAACAGGCTAGATTTAACAGGAACCCACATGCATGTGTGAGATATTGCTCATACCACAGACCCTCTCTCTGTAAGTTGACCAAGGGACTGTAACCAACTGGTCAACAGAAGGAACTGGGCCCGCTGTACTGACACGGGCTATAAAAGTTAAGTCAACTAAAGGAGGTGGGGAGTCAATGTAGGGAGGTGGTCAACTATGGAGGTTCTACTGTGTGTGAATTTTCCACTGATTGAGTCCTACCCTTTTAA